TTGGTTGCTTTTATCAAGTTGTTCACACTACCAAATAACGCGGGACCTTTGTCACTGTATTTAGTTTTCAACAGTTGGAGAATTTGAATCGTTATGGGGCGTTCCGTATGAGTCAGAGCCTTCATCTGACTCTTTTTCACGTTTTTGGTTTTGGGTTTTTCTATTACCGCTGAGACTTTTTCGTTTGTGTTTTTTACTTCTCTTAAGGTTTGCACTACTTTTTTTCTGCCAAGTGGGCGATGTTGAGCGGGTTCTTGAGGGTCCGGGTTCTCGTTTCTCTTGAGCGTTAAAAGACGCTGACTGAACCGCGTGTTTGGCATTTCGATTTATTACCAGGTTTTCATTCAAGTTGAGAGCAGTTAAAATGTTAATGAACGCTGGATTGTGTAATTTTTTTGTTGGTTGTTGTATGTCGTATAAAAAAACTGCAGCTATAAGTCCTGTTGGTACTTTGTCTACATATATCACCTCATTGTCACGGTTTATGGTTACTCTTTCTGAATTTTCTATGATTTCAAGAACGGTTTTTGCTCTAGCAAATTTTTTGTCTTCTAAAACTTGTAACTGTCCTAAAATGCGTTCGGTCTGTCTATTGTGTTTCTCTTCTAGTATTTCGTCTTTAACACGTTCGACCGGTACTTCTTCATCGTCCGTTAACAGTTTCAGCTGTTCTTGTTGGGGCTCAACATTATCCGTAAATGTTTCCTTCGTTGCAGTAGTCTTACTAGTTTGTGGAGGTAATTGGGGTCTAAGCCGGTTAAGATAGGACAGTTGAGCATTTTTATGTTTAATATTATTATCATGAAGAACACGTGCAGCATGTGGCTGCTCTTTAACATATAAGTGTTTCGGAATTAGAATGAATTCTTCAGCAGTCATCATTAAGTTGTGAGGTACTTGTAACAAAAATAAAGTATTTGTCGAACTAAATGGAAGCCTTCTTTACTCAGAATAATCGCACGTTTTTTGACAACACTGGTTTTTGGAGTTATTAAGTATTTGTATGCTGTCTGGAATTGTTCGATGTTTGCGATTTTAACGGGTACGTTTCCATTGACAACATTGAGCAAACATTCACAAATAAGTGTTATGATCTCACGATTTGAAGATTTTCTAATTAATCTTCTTAGCTGGTCAGGTTTCAGTTGTACCATATGCCGCAGAATAGATAAGTTTTTCTTTTTCATTTGTGATTGGAGTAGTTTCTGCTTCAGATAAGGGTAAATAAAAAACTGTTGGCCCAGGTGGTGTGATATTTGAACAATATCTCAAACAATCTGATGTACGGGGGTCCAAGTCGATTAGAAGATGTCCAAAAGAGTCTCTGGTGGCTAATTCTTAACAGTTTCTCAAAAATTTTGATACATTCAATTGTCTTCCTAAAAGATCTAGTTGCTGAACGTCGCGAGGCGATTTGAACAGAATGATGTGTGAAGTGTTCAAATCAATCGTACGCGACCATCGACTTTGTTGAAACAAGTTATGCTTAACATATATAACATCTATCCCTCTATGTCTACCCGCTGTCGCTAACCTAACAAATTCCTTGTCATTATAGATGTCTTCACATGAATCATCGAAAACTAGAACAACATTTTCTAATTTTCTCACAGATTCGAATCCGTCGAATTTCATGAACTCCACATTCACTCCGCGAGAAGACAATTTTTCTGAGAATGCAGGTTGCATCTCTTTGTAAAGATATAGAACGGTTCCAAATTTAGGGTAAAAAGTATTTCCCATCAGAAGTTTCAAAATTAACTCAGTTTTCCCGGATCCTGAAGGTCCCACTATCGCCATAAAAATTCTTGTCGAAGTATCAATCACTTTATTCATATTCTTGGGTTTGGTAGTACGTAACCAACCAAGCCTGATAAAATTGAGAACCAAACTGACGTTTCTTCGCAACTTAATTTAGTGAAAGAAAGTTTGAGAATGCAGAAAGTTAGCAAAATTAGAATTACTACCATTTGCGCAACAAAAAGTACTTCAGACCTTGGCAAAGTTACATTGTTACAAAACTTCCATGATTTTTTTTCACTGTTTGTCTCGTTATAAACAAACTCTGTTACTATTGTTCCGTCAGGTTCATCTACTGCTGTTGTTGCTTCTGACATTTGAGAAACTATTTATTCTACAGACTGCGTTAGACTTTTTCTCTCTTTGAATGAAGCTTGTAAAAAATTGAATTAGTTTTGAGAACAGTATAAAATTTCATAACGTGTGAAATCTCTATCACATAATCACCAACATAAAGCTTTGGACGTCGAACTAATTTCAAAGACTGTTCTGCTCTTAATGAAATCAGGCGAGGAACATCTTTTTTAGTTACTTTATTTGGTGCAAGATTTGTGACACGATTTGTTCTCGAAATAATTGCATTGACAAAATCTTGCAATTTGTCAATGTATGAATAAGTCCATTTATCCTCCAAGTACTTATAAATAAGATTTTTCAAGGAACGGATATTTCTCTCAGCGAATGCGGACTTTTTCTCGCTCTCTGTGCTATATGTGTTTATGCTTTTCTTTTTACATAATGCTTCGAAGGACCCTTTAAACTCTGTGCCCTTGTCCACCCATACTTTTTCCGGTTGTTTTGTCGTTATCATTAGTTTGAACGCTTCTGCTGTTGTAGTAGCATACTTTGATTTCAAGGGTTGCACTCTGAGATAGCGAGACATGCAGTCAACTGCAGCAAGCAGATACTTAACATCATGGTTGTACTGGGCAAGTTTATCAACAAAGGCCAGATCTAATGACCAGATTTCGTCGATATCGTAAACTATGACCTTGAGTCGCGGCGTTTTTCGGATCACAGTTCGATATTTTGTGT